GTACGAGTACGAGTACGAGTACTTGATGCTGGTATCGGACCCGATTCCGATACTGGTATCGGGACACCTCTCCCCTAAACACCTCGGCTGCGCCTAGAAATTCTGTCCATGAAAGTAATGAACAGAATCGGTGACAAAGGGCAGCCTTGGCGGAGTCCAACTCTCACCGGGAACGAGCCCTTTCAACTGATGGAATAAAATTACAACATAGACTTTGGCATTATTGATGATGTAATGACTTTCATTTCCTGTAACTTTACCTGACATGACACTTTTCTCCAGTCACCCACAGTCCATGATTTTTAAACTTTTTTTCGCTCCCTTTAAGTTTGTTTTCTGTTTGATTGTTGACAATGTATTTTTTTTAATTTTTTTTACTTTTGTGTAAAGTACATTTCTTTTAAGCAATTTCTTAGTTTGATCACAAACGTTGAATCCACACTTTCTCTCCCTCTCCATCTTCTGCCACTTATCCAAAGTCGGGTTGTGGAGGCAGCTGGTCCAGGAGAAAAACTTAGACATCTTCTCCTCAGGGACACTTTCCTGCTCATCTTGGGAGAACCCAAGGCGCTCCCAAGCTAGAGAGGATAATCCCTCCAGCGAGTCCTGGGTCTTCTACAGGGCCTCCTACCAGTGGGACGTGCCCGGGTATCTCTAAAGAGAGGATCCAGGGAGCATCAGCTGAACCACTTCAACCAACTGCTTTTGATGCAAATGAGCAGCGGCTCTACTCTTAGTTCCCCACAGAACGCCTGGAGGAACACAGTCATAAGCCCTCTCCAGGTCCACAAAACACACGTAGACTGGCGTGGCAAACTCCCACGACTTTTAGCAATTCTAAGTGTATACATCTGGTCCAGTGTTCCACGACCAGGACAGAAGCCACACTGTTCCTCTTGTTTCTCATTTGTTCTGTTGTGTGTTTTCTGCTCTCCAGACATTTTGCTTTAAGTCTTCTATCTTGACGCTTTGATGTTTTTCTTGGTCAACCAGTATGCTTTCCCCCCTTTTACAGGCTTCCCATTTTCTTTCTACCTGCTCCAGATTTTAGACAACTGACAAGTACCAACCAACAACCTCTGCAACAATCAGTGACCATTTATCATCTTGAAGAAGTTTAATTTTTCTCTCCATTTCAAAGGACATCGCTTTGCATTGGAGCCACTGTTTATGTCAAATCTGCTTCGTGCAACTGCTCTCCAAAGAATGAACATGTAGTTTAAACTGAAAATTAATCAGCAGATTTATTCTGATGCAGGTGATTGTTTTAGAGCTGTCAAGTACAGCGATTGCCTATTGTTTTTCTAAGAATTGAGTGAATCCATTTTTCCCCTCTACTTAATCTAAAAATAGCAACTGACTGATTCCTTATGCCAGAAGGTTGGAATTTTTCAGAAAAATCAAACAAACAAAAAATAGTGAACTAGTTGAACTGTTCTGTGGGGTTCAGTGAGAAAGTTATGAAGCTCAGACTAACAGCAGCTCATATACTTTACATGTGCTTCTTTGAACGACCTCGGTTTATTTCTATACTGTTTAATCAGAACAGGTCCAGGAACAAAGTGGGTTTCTGACATTCTAAAACAAAATGTCTTTGAACTCATAGCTTTTTATGTGGATGTSGTTTTATAAAGTTTTTACTTTACCATTAGTTCTAACAAAGGGCAAACGTTTTAGGAATCTAGTTGGACTAAATCATCAGTCAGTCTCTCTTTTACATAAACACGCTTTTGCAGTCTAACAGCAAAAATGACTAATGCTCTGCACTTCTGATGGCTAAAGTCTGTAAGGTTTAAAACAGATAGGGTGAGAGACAGGCCAGATTTGTGCAGCGCTATGTGGTTTGTTAGGGGAAAAAAGGTTGTTCTGCTGTAATTACTAAAAACTCTGATGCAGTTAGTCTCTTTTTTTAAAACTATTTGTACAACTTAGCTTTACAATGGTCCTTCATTTAAGGCAAGGCAGCAGCATAAATAATACCAAGACATTTTTATTTTTAAAGGTACTCTAGTGATCAAAGATGGCCTCCTTAGCCAGATAAAACACAGTCTTTTATAAGTGCATTACCAACACTGAATATTGTGTAATAATCCTCACAAATTTATTTCTTTTGTTCCAAGTTTTTTAGCCAGATWAAAAAAAMCCCAGAAATCAACAAAAATTTTGATGCGAGCTTAAATAATTGAGTTTTAGCTTCATTTACACTTTTTTAAAAACTGAACAAAGGACACTGTTTGTATAGAACATTGATTTATTGAGAGCAGATGGCCATAAGATGCAGTCGCTGCAAGCACACCACTGTCCAGTCACTACAACACACACACACGCACACATCCACACACGCACACACACGCTCACACAGATTTCATATGTTCAATAGCAGAGCAACACAATCCTTCAAACACTCATAGTTACTGCAGAGCAGAGGAGACACCAGGCAGCTCTCTGCTCCGATAAGCAAAGATGAAAAATCAAATACAAAAAGCATTTTTTTTCTAAGAAAGATGTGAACAGCGCTCATCACTTTTACCATCTTTGTTTTATCCTTTGACCTCAGCCCTGACCCCACAAACGGTCTGTAAAGGAGCTTGAAAAAAAATGACCAAAATGTGACCAAAGGGCGGTGAAGAAAAAAATAAATGTTGCTTTGATTTAGAACTCGTAGCAAGTTGCACACAAGCTCACTGACGATGATGAAAACCTGTAAATTGTACCAAAACCTTTTTCAAAGTGCTATCCTGGGATGTCTTGTTGCTAGTTTTTATATTCATGAAATTTAAGAAAAAAAGAGAGAACTGCTCACTTCCATCAGCAAACAAATTCAGCATTTTAGCCTGAAGCCTCAGCGTGAAGGTCACCCTGGAGCAAAGCTAATAGGTTAGCAGTTCCAATTCTCTTCTTATAATAATAATATTTATATRTATTTACCTTCTTTGAAAATGGGCTTTTTTTTCTTTCTTGCTAAGAGCTAGATAAGATTGATCCTGGAGCTGAGCAAACATGAATGTGGTTTCATGTGTTTAGCTTAGTTTTGTGAAAATTATTGCACAACGTACGCGCTGCAGCTAATCCTAGATAATAGAGCAGAGAGTATCATTGTGTAAAACGTAAAATAAATAAGAATATTTACAAGACAGCATTGTGTTAAGGAGTGAATGTGGCTTGAAGCTGCACTTTGAATATACCACAGTGAATCACCTGGTTACACAAAGTAGTGTGGAAGATTATTACCACGTGTTCGGTCTGTATCACCATCTATTGGACATTGGGGAGATGCAGGTTCAGAGATTTGATTTTTGGGTTAGTTTACAAATTTGTGATTCATCAAATGTCTTCACCCAAAGCATGCCTTGTTGAAAAGTGTATATTTTGCTCAGCCCACATTGAGTTTGACTTGGTCTTAAAGTCAAATGGGAAGTAGGAATTGTCTGGGAGAACAGAATGTACAAGCCTTCATTAGGACACGGACTGGACCCTGACTCAGGTTTAGACACGAGCTAAAATGGACATCAATGAGATTGGTGTCATACTGAATTTTTGTTTGGCTCCCTTCACAGTGGATGACAACCCTGTAAGAATGTAAAAACTCAGCTGAACATTGGTGGTTTTTAGTAGTCTTGGTGAGGTCTTCAGTTGTCTGTTGCAGTGGACCCACAATAGAGCAGACAGGTTGTAGACAATTTGAGGAAGGATACAACTTCCACAGCAAGGTTGTAATGGTTTATTATTGTGGTGGCAGCATATCAGGATCTTGCCATGGCTAGTGTCACCAACTTCTTATTAAAAAATGCTATTGGCTGTCCTAAGAGTAGTTAGAAGTCACTAAATTATGTTTTTACCTATTTCACATTTGCAGTACCTATTATAATTGGCCATAGGCATGTAATGATAAACTGTCGCATGCTGTAGGAAAAAGAAATAACATTATGGGAGAAACAAAGAGTGAGATAATAAACACATTTGAATATGTTATGAATTACAAACTAATGTTCTACAGCCAGTACTTCTTCTTGGTAATGTTACACTTGAAATCCTCCTCATTTATCCAGGCTTTTGGTTCAGCTTAAATGAATCTAGAGGCACATAAGCCATGTTTCCACCAACATTTATGCACATTTTGAAGTATCGCCAAATCTAAGACCATGATCTTTAACCAGAAAAAGGTAGAGTGCYTCCTTCAGTTTGGAGAAGAGGTCCTGCCCCAAATAGAGGAGTTGAAGTATCTCTGGGTCCTGTTCACGAATGACAGAAGAATGGAGCGGGACATGGATAGGTAAATCGGTGCTCTCGATTTACTGGTTGGTCTACGTTCCTACCCTCATCTATGGCCACGAGCTTTGGGTAGTGACCAAAAGAACAAGAT